TATTGGATATCAATAAAATTTACTTTCTAAGCGCACTTCCAACAAATTCTGTCCGTTAGACTCCAAGTATCATACCTTTTCGGAATCAGCTCGTTACGGAAAAATCGACGTGTTTCAGGTTTTTGTAAAACTGGTTTTGGAAATATCGAATTTATTCCATACTTTGCGGGACACACTGTATACTGATCGATAGAGAATTTTGGACATGGCATGGAGCGTCGAGTGATACATCATTTGAAAGGTCTTTTACCCCTCTATTACTTCTGTGATTTTTTTCAAAATTGGTTCATTCGTTATTGAGAAATTAAATGTTGAACGTTTCATTTGAGAAAAACCAGAAAATTCGCTGTCGCTCATTTTATTGAGTAAATCAACGACAGTAATATCGATGGCAACACAATCAATGAATAAAGTGTTCAAAATGACTGTGTACTGAAGATGTCCCGAGTCAGAAATTGGCATTCCTGAACAATTATCTGCGGTAGGTCTTCTAGATTCGTAGAATTTATTTAATTAGCAGTAAACGTTTTGAAATGGACGACACTGTTAGTTTTTTCTGCGCTGGAAGTTCGTGTTGAATCTAGTTGTCGCAGAAAAAAAGTAGATAGTTGACCACTGTGGAAAAAAAATAGAGAGGAAGGGTAATTGCTGACCCTCGTATTTATCTGTCTCGCTGTCTATAATACGGACTTATTCTAGAAAATATTCTTCCACTGACACTGATGATATTTTCAAAGCAATTGATGAGGAAAATTTGACCTGTCTCATTCTATCAGACTACAGTAAAGCTTTCAATACTTTGGATCCGTCTGTTTTATGTAAGAAACTGAAATACAGGGTGTTCCATCTCAGGTGAGCCACCCCGTATATTTCTTATCCCATAGTGAGTGGAAAAATTTCCCGAAACACGTCGAATGCTTTTGTTTCTGGGACATCTTTTGACGTATACTTTAGGCTTGAACGAGCAACCCCCTAACAGGGGGCTCTTCAACCCCTCAAACTTGAATAGGGGAGAGGGGTTGAAGAGCCCCCTATTAGAGGGTTGCTCATTCAAGCCTGAAATATACGTCAAAAGATGTCCCCCAAACAAAAGCATTCGACGTGTTTCGGGAAATTTTTCCACTCACTATGGGATACGAAATATACGGAGTGACTCGTCTGAGGTGGAACACCCTGTATTTTGGCTTCTCTGGCGGTGCAGCTTCACTCCTGGAGAGTTACTCAACTGTGTGAATGGTGAACAATCTTCTTCCTTAAGAAGACATTATGGCGTTCCACAAAGCTCTGTCTTGGGACCTCTACTATTTGCTCTTTATGTATCCGATTTCCACGAGTGCGTCAATTCGTAAAGAGAGCAAAAATTTGGGTCATTTTTTTCTCCGAGACACTGTCGAAACGACGAAGAGATACTGAGATACCACCAGCTGTGTTCACTGCTTCAAATTTTCAGAAAACACAGGGTGGTTCCCAGCACCTCATCGTCAAAATCACGTCAGCCGTATTCTTCTGCATCCTCAGTACGACACTGGCCCCCATTTATTCAAATCCAAGTTTAGATTTCGGTAGCACGCCACTGTCTCCTATCAGATGCCCGCTGACATATAGAGGTAAAGGTCAGTAAGTATACACGTGCGAATTTACAGAGAATTAAGGCGAGGCCTTGAATTCGGCTTATTACAAAAAAAACTCGAATTGATTTTTAAAACGCTTCACTCTTTTCGAGCCGACCAACGAAAATATTACCAGATGTTTTTATGACGACATATACAGTGCTGTTAGCGTTTTTACCCAATACAATGCGTACAATAGATTGAACAACAATCACAGAAGATAGTAAGACAAATACAGTTCGTCCATTTTGAAACGAAACAGCAATACCTATAATGAGAATGTGCTGAATAAGGTATAGTTTCATAGTTGAAATTGAAACGATGCCAAAAATTATCAACCGGGAAATACGTATATCCATTTAATGTCAATGTAGAGTCCCAATAACTGAATGTTCGGAGTTTACCAACTTTTTGAGAGCTCCGTTTGGACACGAAATAATTATTTTTTCATCGAAATAAGGCATGCACCCTAAAATACCTATTCTTTGTCCTTCAAGATCTACTTCAAGTCATACTAATATCTCTCGTGGTTTTCAAGAAACGGCATACCTAGTTTTCATTTTTGAAACTATGCTTGGAATAGCCTAGCCTCACTATAGTTTTAGTTGACCTCAGTTTTGCTAGAATTCATTTCTTCAGACAAATTATATCAGAACTATTGTTTTTGTTGAATAAATGCAATGTCAGATTACATGCAAAAATATACCAACAAACCCCAAACTCACAAAACCTCAACTATTACTAGCAAAACATTACAAGAATAGTAGTTTTTGCCACTTGTGTGAAAAATGACTATGGAGGCAATTCTTAAGTGTTGAATAACTGAATAGAGAAACAAGGTTTCTAGCCAGACACCATGCCAAATGGCATGGAATATAGTGTGAAACTCCAACAGAACAGAATCTCCAACATCCTAAATGTGGGTTCCAACATATTGAAATATAGTTCCAACACCTTAAAATGGATTCAAACATCTTAAAATGGATTCAAACATCTTAAAATGGGTTCCAACATCTTAAAGTGGGTTCCAACATCTTAAAAGTGGGTTCCAACATCTTAAAAGTGGGTTCCAACATCTTAAAAGTGGGTTCCAACATCTTAAAAGTGAGTTCCAACATCTTAGAAGTGGGTTGAAACATCCCAAAAGTTGTAGAACCCAACATATCAAAAATGTGATCATAAATGTGATCCAACATCGATATTTGTGAAATTTGAATATAGCGTGGCTGCTATGTATTCTGAAACGTGAATCTCCAAGGTAAGATTCAACATCCTAAAAGTGGATTCCAATATCATAACAGTGGTTTGAAACATCCTAAAATTGGTTTTCAATATAATAAATGTGGGACCCCATAGTGAAACAAGATCTCTAGCCAGACACCATGCCAAATGGCAGTAAAAACTGAATATAGCGTGACTCTCCAACAACCCAATTATGGGTTCCAACATATTAAAAGTTGGTTCTAACATCTTAAAATGAGTTCCAATATCTTAAAAGTAGGTGCCAACATCTTAAAAATAGGTGCCAAATCTTAAAAGTACGTAACAACACCTTAAAAGTAGGTACCAACATCTTTAAAAGTTGTGGGACCCAACGTATCATAAATGTGATCATTAAAGTGTGATTCAACATCGATATTTGTGAAATTTGAATATATCGTGGCTGCTACGTATTCTGAAACGTGAATCTCCAAGGTAAGATTCAATATCCTAAAAGTGGGTTCCAATATCATAACAGTAGGTTGAAACATCCTGAAATGGGTTTTCAACATACTAAATGTGGGACCCCATAGTGAAACAAGGTCTCTAGCCAGACACCATGTCAAATGGTAGTAAAAACTGAATATAGCGTGAATCTCCAACAGAACATAATCTCTAACATCCTAAATGTGGTTCCAACATCTTAAAATGAATTCCAACATCTTAAAATGGGTTCCAACATCTTAAAATGGGTTCCAACATCTTAAAAGTGAGTTCCAACATCTTAAAAGTGGGTTGAAACATCCCAAAAGTTGTAGGACCCAACGTATCATAAATGTGATCATTGAAGTGTGATTCAACATCGATATTTTTGAAATTTGAATACATTGTGGCTGCTACGTATTCTGAAACGTGAATCTCCAAGGTAAGATTCAACATCCTAAAAGTGGGTTTCAATATCATAACAGTGGGTTGAAACATCCTAAAATTGGTTTTCAACATACTAAATGTGGGACCCGAAGTATCATAAATGCGATCTTGGAAGTAGATTCAACATCAATATTTGTAGAAATTGAATATAGCGCAATTTAACATTTCGAAAGTATGATTCAATAATCTTAAAGTGGGTTCCAAAGGCTTAAAAGTGGCTTCCAGCATCCTAAAAGTGGTTTCCAACAGCCTGAATGTAGGGCCCAATGTACCATAAAGCGATCTTAGAATGGCAACATCAATATTGCTAAAAATTGAATTAAGCTTGATTGTCACGTAGTTTGAAACCTGAATCTCCAAGGCGAGATTTAACATTTCAAAAGTAAGATTCAACATCTTAAAAGTGGGTTCTAACATCTCAAAAGTGGGTTCTAACATCTTAAAAGTGGGTTCTAACATCTTAAGTGGCTTCCAGCACCCTTAAAATAGTTTTCAACATCATAAATGTGGGACCTACATATCATAAATGTGATCAAAGAAGTGTAATTCAATAATTTAACATCCTAAAAGTTGGTACCAACATCTTGAAAGTGTTTTCCAACGTTTTAAAAGTGGGTTCCATTATCGTAAAAGTGGTTTCCAAAATGATAAATGTGGCATCCAACGTACCATAAATATGTTCTTAGAAGTGTATTCAACATCTTAGTCAAATGTTTATTTTCACTGTCAAAGCCATATGTAGTGTGTGCAATAGAACTACCGCTTTTGTATATGAAATTTCAGTCATAAAACCTGCAGACCTTGGCCTACTTAAGAAATAGCTTTGGCACACTTAGTATTCTTACTTACTTATTCTTCTCACTCAGAATTCTTACTGGGGGGGGCACTCAAATAGTTGATTGAATGTATGCTTTCATTTGAAACATCAAAACTTCTACATAATCCTTCTTGCAAACTGTATTATTCAACGAACTAGAAAATAGCCATTACTCATGAGAATGAAGTTTGTCGACGTGAGTAATGGCCATTTCTCGCGAGTCGTACACTATACTTTTTCTATGATTTACAACATGAAAATCTCAAACAGGACAAAGAAATAACTTCATTTCGAGACTTGGCAGCGCCTAAGAAGAAAACTGCAAACCGGAAATAGCTCAAAACGTCAGTAGTGGGGAACGACAACAATCAAAAACGAAATTGAGTATAACGAGAGATTCGACATATCGAGCGAACCTTCTAGTAAAAACTGATAGTACTTACAGCCTACTGGAGGGTTCGTTGGCGGCTTCATCCCCTTCGATTCGGTATACTTTGCCCGCCATCACGTATTCGAAACTGTCAGCCCTTGATCCTTCGCTCTCCAGTCCTTGGGGGTTCCAATCCCCACCGTCAGCGTACCCATCTTCTCGAAGAGTTGTAGCCAAGACTAAACGAAATTTGTCACCTGAAAAATACATCGGCATCAACGATTGCTCAAAAGAACGGAGGAGTGACAATGGGTGTATCACAAGGGCCAATTATAGGGCCTATTCCCGCGCCGGTTCTGAACCAGCTTATTTACTAATATTAGAAAATAGTATTTGTTCATATAGGCAGAAAATTGACATATTTACTGCCGCGGCTAGCATTTCATTGCCGAGGTGAAGCCATCTTTTGCCTCAAATAGGCCTCCGTTTCAATAATAACCTCCTTATATGCGCAACTTTTTTTTTGAGGTCTGCGAACGGTCAGTGGAGCAATTCGAAGCCCATAACCGTGCATTTTTCATTCGATTAGCTACAGAACAATTTGTTTGGAGGACAGAATAATCATGGTTAAGAGCACCTAACAAAATTTTTACATCTTCTAGAAAAATGGAAATTAAAGATTTAGCAAAAGATATAGAATATAATTTGTTTCCGACAAAATCCATAAAACTGTACGATATATGTTGAAGAAAATGTATGGATCACCTCGATAACAAGAAGATCGATTCATTTATAGTAAACGTTTTACCAACATTGCAGAATTAGACAAGAAATTGAAATCTTCGATTTTTCGGTTGAAGACTACACCACATATCAACGATACTATAGACATATCCAAATATTTCAAACTGAGAGCCTGAGAACTGAAGCGTCAACCAGATGGTTACCGTGTCAAAAAATCTCGACCATAACAAAAACCACAAATTCAGCAATTTATTTCAGAAGCTCCAGCTTTAAAGTTAACAATTCAGAATCGATACATTTATTTTCCTGGCACGAAGAAGGTAAGCCATATAAACAACGGCTTGGTATCGATATACGTATTTGAAAAAATTCCGAGAGATATTACAAAACTTTTAAAATCACCAAACCCATCACAATCATTTATAGAAGTTCTACTACATTGGTAGATTTGGGGATTGGAGATCATCAACAATTGCCGAAGGTCATATTGAAGATTTTATAGCTGCAAAAAAAATGTTAATGAATGACTTTTCTACGATCCCGAAAACAAAATATAGTGATTGATTATACTATGACTACAAAGTGCAAACTGGATTATAAAACCAGTGAAGTAATGTTGGAAAATTCGAATATTGCTATATATATTCAAATGAATCATTATTATTATAGAATCTCACTTACTTATATTTTTGTTATGTTGTGTTTTGATTTAATTGAATTATTATAGTCGGTATTGTAACACATTTTTGAGATTTGTCGTTTTCTTTTTATATGTATGAGCTTTTAATTATATTTTCCACAAAAATATACTTGCCGAGCACTATTATTGTCCTGCATCATTTTTCTACGAATTTCTCTGAACCATATGCAAGAATATGTTGTTGAATTAATCAATTCTACGAAAACACACTGCGGTCACTATAATGGAGTGGCATCGCAGGTTTTTGTTCAATGTTGAGTTTGACATGACCTTGATCGCGGTTGGTGTAGTTACAAATTCACGGACTTGTTTGGTTTGTGCACTGTCAAGAGATAATTAATTTAGTCAATACACAAAGTGTTGCCATGAAAGGCAACATGCAGTCGCTAAAAATCACTATTACACTGTCAAGAAACGAACAAATTCATTTTCAATAACCATTCAGTTTCACAATTATTTAACTGAGGATGTTGTTGAGTAAACTAAAAAAAATTCACGCACAAATTTTACTCTTAATTTGTTTATGATATTGTTGTAAACTATCTCCTGGTCAGCCCCACTTTCATAGAGTTATTTAGGCATTACCACAATACAGGAGAGTCAGTCTAGTTCGGAAAGTGCAGAGCGAACCAAGCTAATACGGCGATTGACGTTAGAGCATTAGCTTGAGGTTTATTTAGTTTATGGGTTGTATTGAAGGGAAGGGGAATACGTAACAATTTAATCAGGTCTCATGTTTTTGTATTTGTCTTACTCACTACTATGATCTAGAAATTTTGATGATTGATTTTATTATGTAGCGAGACAATTTGTTTGCTGTGATTATTTGCTTATTAATTACGAGGAAATATATTTTTTCTTTCTGTTTAAAAAATACACGGGGTCTCGCTAACTCGACGTCAAGTTATCGATACAACTTTTTTAATAATAATAATAATAAATGGACTTGATTCATTGACATACATTGTTTATGAAGAAGTAGATACAGAAATCAATGAAAGGGGGATAGCATGTATTATATAAAAATAATTACCTAGTAAACATTGGTAAGTTCATGAATCTTTGTAAAACTAAGAAAAAACAAAGGTTATAAATTTCAAAGTAAATATTAAAAATCTATTTAGTTTAAATGAGATAAAATATATAGCAAAACACACAAAAGTGACAGCAAAGGGAAAACCATATGAGCAAGGCATAACATGAATATATTTATTATCTATTTCAGATTATGGGCTATAGATAGATCCAATAACTTTTGTAGATCGCTGTTAATTTTTTCCATTGCTATCTGCCAGTTACTTGGAGGAAATCGATAATATAACTGAGTATCATCTGCAATGATGAACTGTGCAATATCAATTATTTCATGAAAGTCAAATATATATAGAGAGAACAGAGTGGGGCCAAGGATAAAGTCCTGAGGGCCCAGAACTTTGACTAGAATATTAGGTTGCCATACTTATTCGCAAATTAGTTGCGGTGAAAATTTTTTTCATTTTCTTTCTGTACAAAAAATTCTGATACACAACTGGTAATTTATGAATTCAATCATCTGTGATTGGTAGTGAGTTATGAATCTTATCAACTGTGGTTCAAAGGTCACAAAATTGATACTATTGTGATACTATTATCAACGAGTACCCTTCAAAAGGAGTTTACATGTGTGAGAAAATACGAAAATTCCTATTGAAAAAAAACCATAGTCCATTGAAATGTTACATTTTTTAGGAGGATCAGTAGAAGCTTAAGTTCAAGTATGGAACGCTGTAAAACCTAGATAAATGAATAAAATTAAGCAACTGTATAGTGGATATTGTTCGTGGAAAAACCCTCTACAAAATTACTGTGATGTCATTTTATTGTAAAATCAACTGAAAAAAAGTTATAACCTCCAAAAGGAAACTTGTTACAAAATGTTCACTTATTTTTGTTCATAACTTTTTTGTTGGTCACTTGACGATAAAAAGTATCAGAAATAAAACGGCAAAAAATGTATTTTACTACATTTTACGTTCAATTAAATTTTATGTAGGGTTGCCAGTTTACGACATACAGCGCGAAAACCCTTTGCACCCCTTTTTCTAAGGGTGGCGACCCCACAAATTTGAACTTGAGCTTCTACTGACCTCCCCTGCACATCAAAAAAATAAAATTGCGTCCTCTGAAAAACGCAACCCTAAATGTAACTTTTTAGTAGACTAACAACGTTTTAACAAAAAAAAACAGACGAAACCCAAAATTGGAGAGAAATTCATCACATTTTTAGAAGCTATTCTTCAATACTAGGTACCTACACTGTATGTTAGTAAATAATTCATTGAAGTAATACACATCGTCATCAGAAACGTTCATACGAAACACGTTTCGATAACATAGTTAATTTTTCGATGAAAAAGGGTTTAAAACAGATTCATTAATTATTTCGTGATTATCAACATACCATACAATCTCGATTCCAGCAAAGCACCGCATTGCACCGCAGAAACACCGATCACAAAACCACCACCACAAATTTCCGTAACCCGGAAAAAAAACTGCGCTATCAAAAACAAATAACCTCAAATAAATCCTGCTGGAAGTTGCCGCAACTCTTGCAAAATCGCAGAGGCCGCGACACCTGACAAAACACCATCGTCGCGAGCAGTTGCCGACAATACCGACCGAGAGAGTTCCTAGCAGGCTTCGGCACGACCTTGACGAGCGCGAAAAGCTGGGTTAACTTTTCCTGAAACGAAACCCGACCCTGCCCTTCAACAACGACTCATTCATAGTGCAGCAGGCCGCGGCCATGCCCTTGCGCAAGGAGAGGCGATGTTGCCGCGTTGGGCCGGTTAGAACTGCGATTTCGGGTGAGCGATAACGCCGCCTGGCGTTTGAAACCGGGACTTCGGTTTATGGCAGAAACTTGCAGATGATGAAACCACTGTCCAGGGTGACCACATGCGGTAGATTTGGATAGGACGATAGAATACTAATTTCAATGTGAGTGGCGACATCTGCAGCAAATGACATGAATTCATTGTTTCTAGGTTCTGCCCCCTTCGATACACAGAACACAAAATGGTACAGATCATAAAACATCCATTTCTCAATTGCTTGTTACTGTTTTCTAAATATCCCCGATCTCCGAGTAAAAGAAAAAGAAAATAATAATACATAACCTCATTTCACCTTTCGTTTTCAAACTTTCGAAGAATTCAAAGTTTCATTTCAAACATGGAAAGATTTCTGTTTTTGAACATTGAAACCTAATACTTGAAATGGTCCAACTGGTCAAAATAACCAACAACAAAGAACCAACTATAAAAGCAACTTGCTATGAGGCCAAGGCCTCTAGATTCTGTCATACTATTCAAATGTCTTCATAAGCGCCACCTAGTGGTCGAAAACTCAAGTTTTCACTATTTTTCTCGGACAGTCAAGCGGCGTTGAAAGCTCTTAGCTCCTACTGAGCAACGTCTAAATTGGTGAGAAATTAATATTACTGGAGTTTTTCCCCCACAACAAATCGTTATTTTCAACACCGCGACACGTGTTTCGATCACCAAGTGATCATCTTCAAGATGATCTTGAATCAAATTCGAGAGAGAAATAAAAATAATTATTAAGAAGGAAATCAGATAACCTTGCAAAGATGAAACGGACAAGTTTTAGAAATCTGGAGTTTACAAGCTCAAGTGTCGGGAGTGTAATAGTGTTTATGTGGGATAATGTGGTCAAACTTTCAAAAGCGGAGTGCTTTTTAGTTGACATATCTTTGACAACTTGATAACTTATTGAATAAGAATATAACGAGTGTCCCAAATAAGATAA